TGACAAGGGGACTATCTGATACACCAGCTGTGACACAAGCAGCTTCACATGCCTTGCCCACCATGGCCTGGCTGCCAGGAGGGCCAGCTGAATGACTCAGTGACACCTACTTCCCCCATGACCCCCTACCCCCAGCTGAACACAGACACCACAGACACCTTAGACAGATTGGGGTTGTCAGTGCAGAGGTACACACATGGGGAAGCCCACAGCTGGATACAGGGGCCTGGGAATGCTCCCTGGGCCTGAGTGGCCCTGGCTAGTCATCTTGCCTTTCTGGAACATGAACATCTATGGGAAGTGGGTAAAGTGCCTGGAAGATCACCTGGAATGGGTCGGGATCCACTTTAAATCTCCACAGAGCAGTCCCAAAGTGAGTGTCACAATTATGCCCACGTTACATATGAAGAAACTGGGCAACATGGGCTGATAACTTCATCTCCCTAAGCCAGGGGCGGCCAGATCTTGGTCACTGGGTGGTGAAGCCCCTCCTTCCTGGAACTGGGGGCTGGTGGCTGTGGGGGGGAGGGGGGGAGCTAGACTCCTCCGTCCAGGCAACAGCGCCCCCTGCCATCTGAGGAGTATGAGCCAACCTGCTTAGGTTCCTCTTTACTCCCTGGCTGGAGGTCTTGGGACTGATTTAATTTCGGAGGCTCGGTTCCTCATCTGTGAAATAGGGAAAATAAAGGGTAGCAACTGCTGCGCAAGGCTGGATGGAGGATTGAACGATTAGGTAGTATATGCAAAGCCCTCAGCCAGTGCCCTCTCAGGACAGACGTGGTGTCAGCCAACCCTCCACAGATCTGCAAAGAGCCTCTGGAAGTCTCCGCCCACAATCACATCTGAGCCTTCACTGGGATGAAGTGGCCAGAACAGACTTAATATCCTTGTTTATCGGGGATCCCTGGGTTTAGCGGTTTAGCGCCTGCCTTTGGCCCAGGGCGCGATCCTAGAGACCCGGAATCGAATCCCATATCGGGCTCCCGGTGCATGGAGCCTGCTTCTCCCTCCCTTTGCCTCTCTCTCGATCTCTCATTAGTAAGTGAATAAAATCCGTAAAAAAAAAAGTCAATGTCAAGAAAAATTAAAAGATGGGGAGTGGGGATAGTTCTAGAAGAGGATAAAGAGAGATACTAATGCAATGTATAAAGCTTCACTGGAGCCTGATTTTTTTTTTTTTTAAGCATGGAGCCCAATGTGGGGCTCAAACTCACAACCCTGAGATCAAGACCTGATCTGAGGGATCCCTGGGTGGCGCAGCGGTTTGGCGCCTGCCTTTGGCCCAGGGCGCGATCCTGGAGACCCGGGATCGAATCCCACGTCGGGCTCCCGGTACATGGAGCCTGCTTCTCCCTCTGCCGCTCTCTGTGTGACTATCAAAAAAAAAAAAAAAAAAAAAAAAACAACTCGGGCAGCCCAGGTGGCTCTGCGCTTTAGCGCCACCTTCAGCCCAGGGTATGATCCTGGAGACCCGGGATCGAGTCCCATGTGGGTTCCCTGCGTGGAGCCTGCTTCTCCCTCTGCCTGTGTCTCTGCCTCTCTCTGTGTCTCTCATGAATAAATAAATAAAATATTTTAAAAAATAAAAAACAACTCTAAATGGCATTTTGTGGAAATTTATTATAAATGATTGGACATTAGATGGTATTAGGGAATTTTTCCATTCTTGGCCAGATAATAGCACTGTGGTTACACAGGCTTACTCTTATAAGACCAGGATGAAGTACTTAGAAAGTGAAGGGTCATGTGTGTGCAGTTTACTCTCAAATATATTTATATTATGCATAGACAAATAAGGCCAATGCTGCAACATGTTAACAATTTGAATACAGATGATGGGTATACAGGAGTGTTCACTACAGTAATCTTTCAATTTTTTTGTACGCTTGCAACTTTTCTTAATGACACCACTGGGAGAAATTTTAAAAACGCACTGCATCTCATTGACGCAACCCATATAGGAATTTGCACTCACGATCACCATCTCCTCCCAAAGGCGGAATGACCCAAAATGAAAGATTCTGAGACACACTAGGAAACGAGTATAAATTAAGAGTTTATTACAAAATGCAAAATGTTAGTTCCTCATTGTCAGTGATTCAAGAAAACAAGGCCATGGGCCCTGGGTGTGACGCGGGGCAAAAAGCCAGGCTCAGGAGCGGGCTGACAGGCACTGGTTCACAACCTCCAGCAGGTGGGTATTCTCTAGGGCGGCTGCCACCCGTTCCTTATCCGCAAGCTGCTTATTCACTGGATGAGAAGGAAGGAATAGAGAAGGAAGATCAAAGCTAGACTCTGGACAGCCTGCCAGCCAGCCCCATGTCTAACCCTTGTGTGTATGTAGATATGCACTCATTCTAACCTCCTGTCACCTCATTCCCAGGACCCCAGGACTTGACCAAGCTACCCAAGCCACCTGAGCCCACAATGATCCCTCCCACCTGGCTCCTCGTGTCTGCTGCCTCCTGTAACATCAAGGACCCTGGTCCTGTGTACTTAGGAAAGGGAGAGGGCAGGAATGGAAGAACATGGTAAGCACAGGAGACTTAAGCTGGCTTCACTCCACTGAGGAGTCCACCCACTCAGCCCCTCTCCTTCCATCTTGCCCTACAAACCACCACGGCAAGGGGGAAACCTCGGGGCCAATGCCTCAACATCAGCCCACACTTACCTGCATGCTCCGAGGCATGGGTCCCTGGTGTAATGTGCACGTCCATCTGGGAGGGGGAGATAGGTGGGGTCTGAGCACTTATCACCTGTCTACCCCCTCGCCCCCTTTCCCTCACTCACCACCGACCACTGATCCTTCCTCCTCATTGTGACTGCGGACTCTGGACCGTCCATTATGCCCCAACCCCACTCACAGCCACTCCATCTCTATCCAAAGAACTGGCTGACTACCGCTGACATAAAGGCCTGCCTGTGCCCCATCACGGCTCCAAATCTATATACAGCTTTCTACTCCCTTTCCTGCCACACTCACTACGCTTCTGCACTTTCCAGTTCAGGCCTTTATACTTGTCCCATTCAGTTGGAAGGGCTCCTCCCAGTTTCATCACTGCCAGCTGGGATCCTTGCAGGTCTCGCTGTGATGTCCATGTCTTCCTCCGTAGCAGAAGCTCACCCCTGTCCTACCCCTGGGGCTCAGTTCCAATTTACCTTGAAACGCTGGGGAAGGGATCGAAGAAGTTTGACTTTGATGGACAGGCCAATAAGGGTGGCCATGCTGCAGTGTGGAATGGTGGGTGTGAAGGCGACGGCCACCGTGCTCTCGGGGTCGCTCACCTGGTTGGGAGAACGACATCTCGTGAGAAGGCACTCCCTTCTTCTTAGTACGTTGCTTCGGGCACATCGTCTAGCCTCTATGGGCCTCAGTTTCCCTGTCCATAAAACGGGCACAGCAATCCCTCCCTCCTCCCCTTCCGAAGATTCCCTGACGAGTCCGTGAGCGGAGAGAACGCCAGGCTCCTGGTGCAGATGAGCTTTCCTGACTCTCCCGGACCACCTGCCCCCTCGGACGCTGTGAGTGACTCACCTGAACCCGGACTTGCTCTACTACGTTCAATTCTTCCAGTGTCAGTGGATGCTCCGGGTCATTGATGGAGCGAATCAGATGTGGCAAGTGAAGGAAAAGGGACTCTGTGCCCTGGCCCACTCAGAACCCTCCGCCGGGGCAGCCCGGGCCTGCTACACTCCACCACCTAGCGGACGGCGTCGCTTCAGCCCCCTCCCAGGCCCCCGCGAGCCCGCCCGCGCGGCAGCGGCGGATATCGAAGATCTCGCGCGCGTCGATGCTGTCTGGAACCTGCTCGTCCTCCTCGCCCGCGGTCACCGGCCGCTCCCCGGAGCGTTCGTAGATGAGAGGGTTGGCGTTCTCCAGGAGGCCGGCCCCGACCCCGCCGCCGCCGCCGCCGCCCACCATCGCGAAGCCGCTGCGGCCGCTGCGGGCGTGCACTTCCGCTGTAGCCGGAGCACTTCCGGGGGACGGGAAGGGGGCGGGGCGACGGGGTCGCGGGAGGGACATGCTGCGCCGGCCGCGCCGGGCCCGGGCTCCGCGGGGAGCGGCGGCCGCGGTGCCCTCCGCTCGCTAACCCGGGGAGACGCAGAGCGCGCGTTCACAGAGAGGCCCCCCGAGCCGTACGGAGCCGTACGGAGCCGTACGGGGCCGTCCGAGCCCTTGGGGCGGCGGAGCTGCGGAGGCCGCGGCTGGCTCTCGGGGGCGTAAAGAGAGCGTGTCCCCGGGCACCGCCTCCTCCGCGAAGTCCGCCGGCGGGCGGGGTGGGACCCCGGGCAGGTGCTCCCGGCGCCGTTTACTGCGCTTCGGAGCCTCCTGGCGTCCCTGCCTCGCGTGTCGCCCGCGGGCCGCGCCGAGTCCCTGGCGCACGGGCTCGCACGCGCTGTGTCAGCGGGATGCGTGCCGTGAGCTCCAGCTTTGCGGGGGTGCGGAGGGAGAGCCGCGGGACTGGGCTCCGAGTGCATCTCAGAAGGCAGCTGTGACGAGGGAGGAGGCCCACGGAGACCCTCAGATTAGGGGACGCAGGGCCGAGGGACCTCGAGGTGGACCCAGAAGCCGGGTCCTGAAAGCCGGGAGGAGCCTTCTGGATGGACAGTCGCCCCGCCCTGCATCTCCCCACGCGGCTCCCTTCACCTGGAACAAAGGCCGTTCCCGTTCCTCCATCTGTGGGGGCCCGGATAGGGCACCTCCTCCCGGAAGCTCTCCGGGGTTCCACCGCCACAGCGCCCCTCCCCAGCGCCCGGCCACCCCACGGGGCCTGGGACTCCAAGGGCAGGGAGCACAGTCGCTCCGGTTTTGAGGCGAGGGCTGCGGGCATTGTGGCGGGCTGCCAAGGCCCTCGGCCCCTTCTGGGAAGCCCAAGGGGCGCGGGGCCAGGGGAAGCGGCCTCGGGTTGCGCCTGCGGCCTCTCGCCCCGCTCGCCGCCCCGCTCGCCGCCCCGCTCGCCGCCCCGCTCGCCGCCCCGCTCGCCCCGCCCACTCCCAGCCGGGTCCAAACTCCGAACGCTCCGGGAGCTGCGGCCGGGGGGCCTGGGGACAGTCCGGGTGAACAGCAGCGCGCTCCGAGATGCGGCTGGACGGGTTTCGCGCGCGGCTGAGCGCCGTGGTCTGTGGGCTCCTGCTTCCCCTAGTCCTGGGCCAGGGTGAGGCTCCCTGGGGTCAAGGCCGGGTCGGACTTGCCAGATTCTGTAGCCGCGGGACCTGAGGCTGCGAGGGAAGCCCCTGGGGCCGGGGCGGGGGACCCTAGGGAGGGGGCGGCGGCGAACCGCGGTGCTGACAAACTTGCTTGCACCTGCCCCAATGCTTGGAAACCCCTGGGTGGGCCCCCTGAGGTGCAGAGAGAGTCGGGGCAGCAGAGGTCACACAGTATGGAGGGGTGAGGGAGGCCGGAGCTCTGAGCAGTGCCTTGAGGCAGTGGGAGTGGGGGGCACAACTCAGGATATTTCCTTCTTAGTGTTTGTGGTGGAGCTGGTGCTGCCTGTGAAAAATGACGGTAGTAATTATCTTCCTGCCGAGGTTTGGCTTTAAGTGTTGCCCCCTTGGCCAGAGGGACGTCCTGGCATCTGCTGAGCGCCCCTCCAAAGGGTCCCGGGTCAAGATTACTGGCTTCCGGGGAATCCAGCTGTGCCAGCCCCCACCCCTGTATGTCTATCATACCCATCCGTAAGCCCCATGTACCCAACTGGGCCAAGGGCACCTTTTGGCCTCCAGGGCAAAGATGATTGCACTTTGTGTCAACTTTGGATTGGATTCTGCTGACTATGATCAGTAGCTGAGGCTGTGCTGACACCATGCCTGCGGCCTGCACAGCTCCTGCACCCCCTCTTACCAGCGATCCTCTCACCCCAAATGGCTCTACCTGCGAGACCCAGCTATCCTCCTTGCTTCCCAGGCCAATCTGCCCTAGAGACATCCATATTAATCCCTTGGGCTTGGCCCACCCCCAGGGGCCTCTGCTCTTACCAGCTGCTCACCAGGCTCTCAGAGGTCACAGAAACCTTTCAGCGGGATGATTTGCTAGGCCTTGCTGATACTTCCCTTGAAAAAAATGTTAATATTTGGATTGCCCCCACATTCAAAAAGAAAAAATAGAGAAACTATAAGAGAGGATGCAGGTGATATGTCTGACCCTCTCCTGTCCCATCCCATCCTGGCTTCTTCACAGGGACCCTTAGGATCCCCAGGGCCTTCTACACACCACTCAGGAGTTTGCCCAAGAATGGATGTGTTCATTCATCTTTGGTTTTCACCTAAATGGTCACAAACTCCCTCTTCTGGCACTCGGCTTTTCCACTTCCTGACACAGGAATGACCTCCTCACATGGTAGAGCTTACTCATCCTGTTTCATGAAGGGTTTCTCTTCAAGGAGAAAGCATCCTTGATGTAACTGCCCTCTGCTCAAGGACATTTCAACAGGTTGCATCCTTTGCTATAACAACCTTCAGGCAGTGGAGGCCAGTGGCCACAATGAGTTATGTGGACAGCCCACCCGGCAAGGAACTGTGTGTAGACCACAAGTTACTGGGGAGAGGGGTAGGTCTGTGACTTGGAAAGACATTGCTCAGTTGTCCTCAGTGGAACTGGTGAGTGGCCGTTGACTCTGGCCTTATCCATAAGCATGTTGATTGATGTTGATCCGACAGGTGATCTAAGCAGGGAATCAGTGGGTGAGCTGGGAAGGAAAAAGTGGGTCTGGCAGGGGAGTGGGACTGAACATGCAAAACCTGGAGACAGGCAGGCACCGGCATGGCCACTTCCCCTCTGCCCAGCCCCCCTTGGGCTTCCTCAGAAGGGGGCCGAGAGACTTCGGCAGCCCCTCCACAATACCCACAGCCCTCTCTTCAAAACCGGAGTGACTGTGTTCACTGTCCTTATAGTCACAGGCCCCGTGGGGTGTTCGGGGGCTGGAGACTGGGAGCAGTAAGCTGTGATGGTGGAACCCGGGAGAGCTTGCGTGAGGTGGTGCCCTATCAGGATCCCCACAGATGTAGAAATGGGAACAACCAGGACCAGGACACCTGGGTGGCTCAGCAGTTGGGTGTCTGCCTTCGCCTTAGGGTATTATCCTGGGGTCCTGGTTTGGATCCTACATCGGGCTCCCTGCATGGGGCCTGCTTCTCCCTCTGCCTGTGTCTTTATCTCTCTCTGTGCCACTCATGAATAAGTAAATGAAAGAAAGAAAGAAAGAAAGAAAGAAGAAAGAAAGAAGAAGAAAGAAAGAAAGAAAGAAAAAGAAAGAAAGAAAAAAGGAAAGAAAGGAAAAGAAAAGAAAAGAAAGAAAAGAAAAAAGAAGGAACGACCTTTGTTCTAGGTGAAGGGAACCGCATGAGGAAATGCAGGGAGGCATGACTGCCCATCCTGAAAGCTCCTCCTTGCTTTCAGGACTCGGTTTCTGGGTCTGCCTTCAAAGTTCCTCATCCTGTATTGTCTCTGATCTGGAGGTAGTATAGATCCTTGAGGCTGTTGTTTTGTTTTATTTTACTTTTTATTATGGAACCAGGCTCAGATTGGCCAAACTCTGCAGAAGAACCTAAACCTGCAGTAGGAAAGCTCCAGGCAGGCAGGGGACAGTGGAGATGACCAGGGGAACCAAGAGCCTGACTGCTTCCTGCACCACCTGGAGGGATGGAGAGGGTTGGGGCTGCCTGTGGTCACACAGCACCAAAGGGTTTCCAGTCTATAGTAGAATAATATAACACACCCACTAAATCCATGATCTACCTTCAATGATTATCAAGACCTGAGCAACCTAGTTTTGTCTCCTTTGGACCATTATTTGAAGCAAATCTCACACATGATATCATCTGTAGAGTTTTAATGGCCTATTAAAGGCCTATTATATATGTATAACAATATCATGGGGGCAGCCTGGGTGGCTCAGTGGTTTAGTGCCCCTTCAGCCCAGGGTGTGACCCTGGAGACCTGGGATCGAGTCCCACGTCGGGCTCCCTGCATGGAGCCTGCTTCTCCCTCTGCCTGTGTCTCTGCCTCTCTATGTCTCTCTGTCTCTCAGAATAAATAAATGAAATCTTAAAAAAAAAAAAACCTATCATGATTTCTTAATGCAATCAAATATCTAGCCAAATGTTCTTATTATGTCTGATCTCATAAGTGATATTTACAGGGTTTTGTTTTTTATTAGAGAGAGAGCATGAGAGAGAGAGATCACAAGCAGGGAGGAATTGGAGAGGGAGAAGCAGACTCCCCACTGAGCAGGGAGCATGATGGAGGGCTCGATGCAGAGCTTGATCCCAGGACCCTGAGATCATGACCTGACGTGAAAGCAGATGCTTAATTGACTGAACCACCCAGGTGCCCTGCAGGCTTTTTTTTTTTTTAATCAGGATTCAAATAAGGTCCATATTTTGAAAACTGGTAAATGTGTTTCTTTTCTTAGAACAGCTTTGAGGGATCCCTGGGTGGCGCAGCGGTTTGGCGCCTGCCTTTGGCCCAGGGCGCGATCCTGGAGACCCGGGATCGAATCCCACGTCGGGCTCCCGGTGCATGGAGCCTGCTTCTCCCTCTGCCTGTGTCTCTGCCTCTCTCTCTCTCTCTCTGACTATCATAAAAAAAAAAAAAAAAAAAAGAACAGCTTTGAAATACAATCCACATAGCATATCATTCACCCATTTTTTCCCCATTCACCCATTTAAAGTGTACAATTCAATGGCTTTTAGTTTATTCACAGAGTTCACCACATTAATTCCTCTGTTCTGCCCAACTTGAGCCCTAGGTAACCACCAATATGCTTTATGTCTATGGATATGCCAATTCTGGGCATTTAATATAAATGAAATAATTTAATATGTGATCCTTTGTGATGGACTTATTTCATTGAGCATAGGTTTTCAAGGTTCACCCACGTTGTAGCATGTCCAGTATTTTTTTCTCTGTATTACTGAGCGATATTCCATTGTGTAGATGTGATACATTCTATTGATGCATTTTTCAGTTGATGGACATTTTGGATTGTTCCCACTTTTTGGCTATTATAAATTTGGATTGTTGCCACTTTTAGACTATGAGCACTCACATGCAGGTTCTTGTGGGGATGTATGTTCAGTTCTCTTGGGTTTATACCTAGAAGTAGAATTGCTGGGTCATATGCTAACTCTATGTTTAACTTTTTGAAGAACTTCCCGATTGCTTTCCAAAGCACCTGCACCACTTTGCCTTCTCACCAGCAAACTGTGAAGGTTCCAATTTTCCTACGTCCTCTTACCAACATTTGTCATTGTCAGTCTTTTTAATGTATCTCTTTTAACCTTCAGCCTTCCATTGCCCCTCTTTTATTTTCCTTGCAATTTTGTTTTTAAAAATGTTTTTTTTATTTTTTTTTTTTATTATTTATGATAGGCACACAGTGAGAGAGAGAGAGGCAGAGACACAGGCAGAGGGAGAAGCAGGCTCCATGCACCGGGAGCCCGATGTGGGATTCGATCCCGGGTCTCCAGGATCGCGCCCTGGGCCAAAGGCAGGCGCCAAACCGCTGCGCCACCCAGGGATCCCTGCAATTTTGTTTTTATATAGAAGAAACCAGTTTAGTTGTTGTGGAGAGGATCTCAGAATTTAGGCTTTGCTGATTACATCCACCTGGTGTCTTTTAACTGTTTCTCTATGCCCGGGATGCCTGTAAACTTATATTCATTTATATTCTAGAGGCTTGATCAGATTTCAGTTTTAGATTCTGCTTCATTATGTTTTGGGGCAAGACTACTTCATATGGGGCTATGAACTCCCAACAGAAAACATACATCATCTGATTGTCTTGCTTTTGTGGCAAAGTTAGTTGTTGACATCACAGATCTCAATGAGCGTTCCTCTTAGCATAGCATGACTGAGGTGAACATTTCTTCCTTTGTGTATGAGTCATTTATTTGTATTCCTTACTCTGAACATGTTCCCTCACCATTTCATAGTCTTTCACCAAATATGCACAGCTGGCACATGTCTTATTCATTTGTAGAAATTCTTTGTGTGGGGCACCTGGGTGGCTTGGCCAGTGAAGCGTCTGCCTTCAGCGCAGGTCACGATCCCAGGGATTCCTGGGATCAAGCCCCACATCGGGCTCCCTGCTCAGTGGAGAGCCTGCTTCTCCCTCTCCCTCTGCTGCTCCCCCTGCTTTTGCTCTCACACTGTCAAATAAGTAAATAATTTTTTTTAAAAAAAAGGAAATTCTTTGTGTTAAGAATATCATCTGGGCTCTTTCTGTTAGATGATTTTCAATCACTTTCTCCTTCCCTTTTCCCCATAGTAGGGCAGGTGGTGCTTCTTTCTAGTTACAGTGATGCCTCATTTTTGTAACCCTCCTCACCACATCATCACTCTTTGTTTGAAAGATGCTTTCTTGGTGTAATTTCTTGCCACCTAGAGCATGAGATCCCTAAGGACAGGAGCCTCAACTGCCCGATTCCCACAGTTCGCCTACTGTCTCATCTGACCCACACAGTCAGCAGAAATGACGCTCTCACCCCTTCAAGCTTATTTAACCATTTGTTTGAAGTTCCTGGGGCCAAACTATGGTGCCAGGTCCCAGAGAGCCTCACTGAGTGTAGTGGAGAAGGCTGGGGCCAGACCCAGGGAAAAGAGTTGAGGGAGTGGGCAGGAGTGGGGAAAGGGTGGACACACTGAGTTAAAAGCAGGGAATTTGTAAAGCGAGTGTTTGTAGATCAGAGTCCCTTGAACTGAGGACAGGAAGGAGCTGGCAACATCAATAGCCTGGGAGAGTAGCTGATTGGTAGGCTCAACCCTGATGTCTGATTCTCTGCTCACAGGCCAGGACTCTGCTAGCCCCATCCGGACCACACACACGGGGCAGGTGCGAGGGAGCCTCGTCCATGTGCAAGGCACCGATGTGGGAGTCCACACCTTCCTGGGAATCCCTTTTGCCAAGCCGCCTCTAGGGCCACTACGATTTGCACCCCCTGAGCCCCCTGAGCCTTGGAGTGGTGTAAAGGATGGGACCTCCCACCCAGCCATGTAAGCAGGGAGTCCAGGAACTCCAGTCCCTGGGGTGGAGGGTACTCTGAGCTCTGGGCCAGGCTGCAGTTGTCATTTCATCTAAACTCCCACAGCCAGTCTCCCCTCTGAGTTTGGTGGATCACCACCTATATCTTTCCCAGGAGCATGCAGAGGTTTGGAAGGGTAAAGCAACTTGCCTAGGTTCATGGCCTGGAACTTAAAGCAGAGTTACACATCTGCGTGGATTCTAGTTGTATCAAGTGGTTCCCTGCCACCAGGGGAGGCTTAGTTGGATCCATGAACCCTGTAGGAGCCCCTCACTCCAGCAGCAGATGCTGTAGATATTGAGGAGTAGAGGACCCCCAACTGTGTGCACCTATTGGGCCAGTAACAGGGCCAGCTGCCATTGGCCAAAGGGCATGTGTATGTTCTTGCAACTGGCAACTCTGTGGGAGAGATGAGGTTCCCTGAGAACCTGACTTGAGATGAGGGATATTCTACTGTCCTTCTCATGAGAAATTAATATCCATTCATTTGGGCAGCCCATGCATGTGGCCATTCTCCTGTTCAGGCCTGTCCGGGTACAGGAATACAGTGGTGAATGTCAACACATGCAACCCATACCTCTCCCAGAAACCCCAAGAGTCAAGATTTGCCAGCCTCGGGAGGATTGGTATCCAAGGCCTTATAACCTTGAGGCCTTCCTGGAAGACTGGGCTCCATCCCAGCCTCCCCAGAGCTGGGGGCCTGTGACTTGGCGCAGAGGGGTTTTAGGGAAAGACCATGTGTGAGCATGGTCTCGGGGAAATGAGACTGAGGGTGGTGGGGAGCTAATCTGAGTCCAGGATCTGGGTTTGACCATGGTACGGCCCCACTAGGTGTGTGCAGAACATCACTACCGCAAATGCAGTGGCTCTGAAATTGCTGAATATGACCCTGCCTCTCACCTCCATGTCCGAGGACTGCTTATACCTTAGCATCTATACACCTGCCCACGCCAGTGAAGGCTCCAATCTGCCTGTGAGTACTAGGACCCGTCTGGATGGATTGTGGGAGCACATTTCTTCTACAGAAAGACTAGAAAGGACAAGGTCAGCCTGGGCCCCCTGCAGTGCGGACCCTGTTGAGAAGCCTCTCACTATTGAGTCCAAGAAAGTGCTCCTTACCCAAAATGAGTGGCTGATCCTGAGGCATGGGGTCATGGAACCCTGACTGCTCCTAGAGGTCGGAAGCTGTGGCCCTGGGATGGACCCAAGACTCACTAAATCAACTTATGCTCAGGACACCCACTCCTAGGGGTATCTGTTGGCCAGTGAGAATGGAGAAACTTAATTAAGATACATATGGGATGATCAAGGAGACACCCCTTTTCTTTCTACCTCAGAGAGTTCCAGGAGAAATGGAGCCAGACTTTGGTATATACGGTAGGACCCAAAGTGTGGGAGGCCTGGTTTTCCTGATAGAAATTGGGTCACCTTCATCTAGGTCATGAAGAAGGTCACCTGTCCTGCCTGAGTTTGATCTATGTGGTTAGGCAGACAGAGCCAAAATGGTGGATAGTCCAGGTAGCAGCCCCAGTAGGGTGTTGGCTGGGTGGTAGCCACATGACGTCTGTGCCTCAATTTCCCAAGGTGTTGGTGTGGATCCACGGTGGTTCGCTTATGATAGGCATGGCTTCCATGTATGATGCCTCTGCACTGGTAGCCTTTGAGGACTTGGTGGTTGTCATTATCCAGTACCGCCTGGGTGTGCTGGGCTTCTTCAGGTGAGACTGGGGCTGGGCAGGGCAATGTCAGCCAAGTGAAGCCAGGACAGCCCCGTGATCCCAGTCCTTGCCACCCCACAGCACTGGAGACAAGCATGCAACTGGCAATTGGGGCTACCTGGATCAAGTGGCCGCGCTACGCTGGATCCAGCAAAATATTGCCTATTTTGGAGGAGACCCTGGCCGTGTCACCATTTTTGGGGAGTCCGCAGGTGGCATAAGCGTGTCCTCACATGTTGTGTCCCCCATGTCCCAAGGACTCTTCCATCGTGCCATCATGCAGAGTGGTGTAGCCCTGTTACCCGGCCTCACTGTCAGCTCCTCTGATGAGGTCTCCATGGTAAGCATCCCCTCCTGTGAGAAGCCAGGGTCCTGCCTCAGCTCTTACGTCTCAGCCTCCATCACTCTGTTAAATGAGCACGGGCAGGACTGTCTAGCCAGGTGGGCTGGCCCCTTGGCTGAGGCCTCCGAGTTCACACATAATACCTTGTGAAATCTGGGGAGTACCTACTGAGACCTTAGGCAATCCGTCTCCCCCGTCTGGAAGGATGAGCCAGCCCTTGCCTTATCTCTTTACAGAGGGTGGCCAAGCTGTCTGGGTGTGGCCAGGTTGACTCAGAGGCCCTGGTGGGCTGCCTGAGAAGCAAGAGCGAGGAGGAGATTCTGGCCATCAGCAAGGTGGGGCTGAATGGACGCGCGTATGGAGGAAGGGGAGCGATAGGTGTGGGGAGCATGTCCTTTACATTCTCTGGGCAAGTTACTCCATCTCCACACCTTAGTCCTCACAGCCCTGGGTGGGAAGTTGAGGCTAGGCCATGCTAAGCCAGCTGCAAGACCTCTTGGGGAGGGGGCGTGAGCACCCTGGAGGAGCTGGGAAGGGATGAATGGGACTCAGGGCATCAGAAAATGTCTGGGACCTCACCTTATGGGTCCTCTCAGCACTTCAAGTTCATCCCTGCTGTGGTGGATGGGACCTTCCTGCCCAGAGACCCCCAGGAGCTGCTGGCCTTTGCTGACTTTCAACCTGTCCCCAGCATCATTGGTGTCAACAACAATGAGTTCGGTTGGCTCCTCCCCTTGGTGAGGCCCAAGCTCCCAGGTGCCAGGCCCCTGGGCAGGGGTCGGGTGGGGGTGGGGAGGTGGGAGAGGGTGGCAGGGCTCAGGGCTTCATAGCTCTAGGACCATTCTATCCTCAACTTGAGTTTCCCCTGCTATCCAGACCCTGAACATCTCTGACCCCGAGAAGGAAATGGACAAAGAGATGATGAAGGCTGCTCTGCAGAAAATGTCAGCATTGTTGGTGAGGCTTCTGGGGACCTGCCTCAATGGAGAGGGACTCCTCTCCTGTCCAGAGGCAGGGGAAATGCATCCCCAAGATATCTTGTCCATGTATTATTCCCCATGAGCAAAGGCTGGAGTCATCCCCAGAGCTCACCCTCTTTCTCCCATTCCTATACCTTCCCAGGATCCATCTCCCCAAACCTGACCCTGCTGCCTCCCTGCTGCTGCCAACCTACCTAATCTGACTATTTCTGATCAATCTGGGGGTAGATATTGCCTCCTGAGGTAGGTGACCTGTTGATAGAGGAGTACCTAGAGGACAGCGCGGATCCACAGACCATCAAAGTCCAGTTCCATGAGATGATGGGGGACACCATCTTCGTGATCCCAGCACTCCAAGTAGCCAATTTTCAGCGTGAGTGTATCTATAACTAAGGCCAGAGCAGCAAGGGTGCAGCTCAGAGGTCTATGTCCCTATTGGTTGACCAGGTCCCAACCCACGTCTGTTTTTTGGGCCCCTAGGTGGCAAGCACTTGATGTCTGTCATCTCAGTAAATGCTCACAGCTGGTCTAAGAGACAGGCATTTTCCCCGATTTTAAAGATGAGAGCCTTCAGTGACTTGCTCAAAACCACACAGCTAGGAAGTTCCGAGGTCACTATTTGAACCCAGGTCCTTCTCATTGCTCTTGCTCCAGCCAAGGGCTCCCTCATCCCATTGTTCAGATTCCAACCAGCTTTGGACCTAGCTATCTTGCCACTGTGGGTGATGTAGAAGAGCCCCAGGTAAGGGACCACCATGTCACGGCCTGCACATCCCACCCCCTAGGTTCTCATGCCCCTGTCTACTTCTATGAGTTCCAACATCGGCCCAGCTTCTTCAAGGACATCAAGCTGCCCCACGTGAGGGCAGACCATGGTGACGAGTTACTCTTCGTCTTTGGAACCATCTCCTGGAGAGGCTATGGTGAGTGTCCCTGGGCGGGGTCCCTCAGAGACTCCTCATGCCCAGAATGTGGGCCTTGGCTGGGTCCCTGAGTGAGGGTGATTGCCCTCCCTGTACAGATGAGCAAACTGAGGCTCAGAGAGAGGATGGGATCAGGTGCCCAAGATCTCACAGCTGGAGAGGCTGAGCTAGAGAGGCTGAGGTAGAATCAGAGTCGAAGACTTCAGACTGGTGCCTGGGCTCCCCCCACCTCTCCCTAGGGTGTTTAGAAGGCATATTTGTTTCTCAAGTGGCTTTCCAGTGCCAGAAGGAAGAAGGGAGCCTTCTAGATCAGGAATGAGCCTCGTTGGGGTGAGGAGAGGGCCTGGTGCCCCAGGGCTGTGGGGGGAGTGGGCAGAGAGCCTGCCGGGAAGGACCCAGGGAAAGTTACACATGGGCTGGTGAGCATAGTGGGGGCTGACCCATGTGCTGGACTGGGCTTGGCCCTCACCTGGATCCTTGTCCTCTTGTTTTCTGTAGTTAAAGTCACTGAGGAAGAAAAGCTGTTGAGCAGGAAGATCATGAAGTACTGGGCTAACTTTGCTCGAAATGGGTGAGATGTCGCACCCCACCTCAACCTCTAGGGGTGGGGGAGCTTGAACCCATTCAGGACCTCCCTTCACTGTTGTGACCTTCTCAGTGTACTTGGACCCTTAAATGCATGGTGGCTCCTTCCCTAGCTCCAGGTCCCACACAGACAGGGAGGGGTCTTGTGGGTGCTGGATGCTCTGTCCATCTCCAGGTGACCTGGAAGAGGGTGATAATGTTATGTTACCCACAGAGCCTCCCTCTGACCATAAGGGAGAACACAGTCCAGGTTGCCCTGCTCCTTGGTAACACTCTAGTGGGAGGCAGTTTCTTTCCTAAATCTAGAAATACCCCCGCGCCTGTCGTTCCCCCAGCCCACCTGGCCTGTCTGGCACCCTTGCCCGGCCCCAGGTGGGGCACCAGGTCTGGGCTCCACAGGGCTCAGAGCGCCTCTCTGCCTGCCCTATCGGGGCGGCATGTCTACAGGAACCCTAATGGCAAGGATCTGCCCCTCTGGCCTGTGTTCGACCAGGAAGAGCAGTACCTGCAGCTGAACACGCAGCCTGCAGTGAGTCGGGCCCTGAAGTCTCACAGGCTTCAGTTCTGGACGAAGACCCTACCCCAGAAGATGCAGGAGCTGATGGAGGCGGAGAAGAAGCACACAGAGCTGTAGCTCCCTGCGTCTGGGGGTGAGGGGCCAGGGGGCTGGGCTTGAGGGCAGGTGAGGGTCTGCCGAATATGCCCCCCCACCCACTGAGGAACCAGGGGCTTTTCCCTCAGTCACACAGTCTTTCATTCATTCTGCCAGCCAGCCAGCCAGCCAGCCAGCCAGCATTCATTAAGAACCTACTGCATTGGGGTCCCCGGGTGGCTCAGCGGTTTAGCGCCGCCTTCAGCCCAGGGCGTGATCCTGGAGTCCCGGATCAGGTCCCACATGGGGCTCCTGCATGGAGCCTGCTTCTCCCTCTGCCTGTGTCTCTGCCTCTGTCTCTCTCTCTCTCATGAATAAATAAAATCTTAAGAAAAAAAGAACCTACTGCATGTTAGTTGCCAAGCCCCCCATAGGTCCTCTCATGTTAGACACACTCAGTGAATCCCCCCCATGAAGCTGTGGGTGGGTAAGCCCCAGTAGAAGTTCATGCCCCGCTGAGCCTCGGGTGCCATCCCCTCTTCCTCACCTCTCTCCATCCCCACCCTCCCTCTCCTCTCCCTTTGAAGGAGGGTGCTTTGGGAAATGCTACCTACGCCTGGCTCTCAAGCCTCCCGTGCCCTCATATGTGTCAGTAGCCAGTAGAAATCTGGATCCCAGGAGCTCCGAGATCTTGGCCACCAAAGCCACCAACTACTGAGAATGTAGAAATCCCTGGCCGCACCTTTGTCTCCTAGACTAAATGTCATCTATCACTGACATTTGAACACCTACCCAGTCACTTACCTGTGTCTCACAGAGGGGACTGACTCCATTTTGGGGAAGAAGTAGGACTGAGCTCCACTGACGGAGCCAGTTCAGTGGCCAAGAGAGCCGGGTGAGTCCCTCAGCCACCTGCCTCTTGAAGCGTGCCTTTATTCTCCGAGGTTCTGTGACCCTGGGGGCTCCCACTTTACACAATTGTTGCACATCCAGGCAGATGTTAATCAATATGATGTTTCCTAGAAGTGGATTGAGGAGCCAGAAAGTCTAGAAGAAGAGACTCTTGTCCCCTGGCTTCCAAAGGGCTCTCCATCCAAGGAAGTCTTCCCTTGACTTTTGGGGTTCTCCTTGCCAACCATCTCCCCACCCTCTGCCAAGCATCTGCCATCTCCAGGTGGGCATCGTTTTCCTGCTTAGCGCATTGCTTCCCCTAAACTTTTCCATCACCTTACCCACCCTGCCCCCTGAGGAAACCCTCTCTTATACAGTGTTTGAGCTCGGTGTGCAAAAATACCAAATTGTATTCACTCTGCGTGTGTTCCAGAGTGCTGTGTTCCACCAAAGCACTTTTTCTATGTCTCTAAGAGGTCATATGCTTCTTCTCGTAGGCCTAAGAGCCCTGCTATGCCTCTACGTTTGTCCAACCTGCCCTCTCCAGGCACTAGATTCCCAAGGAGGAAAGCCTCCTTCTCTCCAGGACTTGCGAGCCCAACCATACAGCCTCCAAAGGGCCATCTGAAGGATGGGGAGCAGCCACCAGATGGCAGATGAGAATAACCCTTAAGCCTGGGCCTTCTAAAACTAGGGAGACCAAAGGGGCTTTCGTGGCCGCTGACTGGTGCATACCGCTTCTCCAGCATCCTGAAAACATTTATCGAGCACCCACAGCATGCATGTTTTTCAGTCCTGTGGATGCACAATATGGTTTTCAAAAGTGAACTCCCAGGACCAGTTTTTTTAGTCATCTTATTATATTTTAACAGCTTTATGTTGGAAGACTTTACATAGCATTAAATTCACCCACTTTAAGTGTACAGTTTCACAAATTTGGCTAAATGTATAAGACATATGACCACCATCATATCAAGTGTTAGAATGCTTCTGTTAGTCCAAAGAGCTCCTTCATGCTCCCCTGCCATCAATCACTGCCCTGACCCTGGCCCTGCGCAACCACCGAATTGCTTTCTATTGCTAGTTTGCCTTCTCTAGAATGCAATAGAAATGGAATCACTTATGACTCCTCTCTGTCACTTAGTATAATGTTTCTGAGATTCAGCAGGCAGGTTCCTTTTATTGCAGAGTAGTATTCCATAGATGGTAGGCTACATTTTTTTTTCATTCACCGATTAATGGATATTCGAGTGATTTTTTTTTTTTTTTGGCTCTTTTTATTAAAGTTGCTGTGACCTTTTCAGTCGGGTCTTTGTGTAAATGTATGTTTTCACTTCTTTGGGGAAAATGGCTGAGAGTGGAATTGCTGGGTTATGTGGCAAGTGCCTGTTTGACTTTATTTTTTGTGTATATTTTTTTTATTGGAGTTCAATTTGCCAACATATAGCATATCACCCAGTACTCATCCTGTCAAGTGCCCCCCTTAGTGCCCGTCACCCAGTCACCCCAACCCCTGCCCACTTCACTTTCCACCACCCCTACTTTGTTTCCCAGAGTTAGGAGTCTTTCATGTTCCGTCTCCCTCACTGATATTTCCCACTCATTTTCTCTCCTTTCCCCTTTATTCCCTTTCACTATTTTTTATATTCCCCAAATGAATGAGACCATATAATGTTTGTCCTTCTCCGATTGACTTATTTCACTCAGCATAATACCCTCCAGTTCCAACCACGTGAAGCAAATGGTGGGTATTGGTCGTTTCTAATGGCTGAGGAATACTCCATTGTATACATAGACCACATCTTCTTTATCCATCATCTGTCGATGGACACCGAGGCTCCTTCCACAGTTTGGCTATTGTGCACGTTGCTGCTAGAAACATCAGGGTGCAGGTGTCCCGGTGTTTCATTGCATCTGTATCTTTGGGGTAAATCCCCAGCAGTGCAATTGCTGGGTCATAGGGCAGCTCTATTTTTAACTCTTTTAACACAGTTTTCCAGAGTGGCTGCACCAGTTCACATTCCCACCAACACTGCAAGAAGGTTCCCCTTTCTCCACATCCTCTCCAACATTTGTTGTTTCCTGTCCTGTTAATTTTTCACACCTGTTAATCACTGGTGTGAGCTGGTATCTCATTGTGGTTTTGATTTGTATTTCCCTGATGGCAAGTGATGCAGAGCATTTTCTCATGTGCGTGTTGGCCATGTCTATGTCTTCCTCTGTGACATTTCTGTTCATATCTTTTGCCCATTTCATGATTGGATTGTTTGTTTCTTTGCTGTTAAGTTCAATAAGTTCTTTATAGATCCTGGAAACTAGACCTTTATCTGATGTGTCATTTGCAAATATCTTTTCCCATTCTGTAGGTTGTCTTGTAGTTTTGTTGGCTGTTTCTTTTGCTGGGCAGAAGCTTCTTATCTTGATGAAGTCTCAATAATTCATTTTTGCTTTTGTTTCCCTTGCCTTCATAGATGTATCTTGCAAGAAGTTGCTGTGGCCGAGTTCAAAAAGGGTGTTGCCTGTGTTCTCCTCTAGGAGTTTGATGGATTCTTGTCTCACATTTAGATCTTTCATCCATTTTGAGTTTATCTTTGTGTCTGGTGTAAGAGAGTGGTCCGGTTTCATTCTTCTGCACGTGGCGTCCAATTTTCCCAGCACCATTTATTGAAGAGACTGTCCTTTTTCCAGTGGATAGTCTTTCCTGCTTTGTCGAATATTAGTTGACCATAGAGTTGAGGGTCCACTTCTGGATTCTCTATTCAGTTCCATTGATCTATGTGTCTGTTTTTGTGCCAGTACCACACTGTCTTGAAGATCACAGCTTTGTAGTACAACCTGAAATCTGGCATTGTGATGCCCCCGGCTCTGGTTTTCTTTTTCAATATTCCCCTGGCTATTCGGGGTCTTTTCTGATTCCACACAAATCTTAAGATTATTTGCTCCAACTCTCTGAAGAAAGTCCATGGTATTTTGATAGGGATTGCATTAAATGTGTACATTGCCCTGGGTAGCATCGATATTTTCACAATATTAATTCTTCCAATCCATGAGCATGGAATATTTTTCCATCTCTTTGCATCTTCCTCAATTTCTTTCAGAAGTGTTCTATAGTTTTTAGGGTATAGATCCTTTACCTCTTTGGTTAGGTTTATTCCTAGGTATCTTATGCTTGGGGTGCAATTGTAAATGGGATTGACTCCTTAATTTCTCCTTCTTCAGTCTCATTGTTAGTGTATAGAAATGCCACTGACTTCTGGCCATTGATTTTGTATCCTGCCACACTCCCGAATTGCTGTATGAGTTCTAGCAATCTTGGGGTGGAGTCTCTTGGGTTTTCTATGTACAGTATCATGTCATCTGCCAAGAGGAAGAGTTTGACTTCTTCTTTTCCAATTTGAATGCCTTTAATTTCTTTTTGTTGCCTGATTGCTGAGGCTAGGACTTCTAGTACTATGTTGAATAGCAGTGGTGAGAGTGGACATCCCTGTCGTGTTCCTGATCTTAGGGGAAAGGCACCCAGTGTTTCCCCATTGAGAATGATATTTGCTATGGGCTTTTCATAGATGGCTTTTAAGATGCTGAGGAATGTTCCCTCTATCTCTACACTATGAAGAGCTTTGATCAGGAATGGATGCTGTATTTTGTCAAATGCTTTCTTTGCATCTATTGAGAAGATCATATGGTTCTTGTTTTTTTCTCTTGTTGATAATGATCACGTTGATTGCTTTACAAGTGTTGAACCAGCCTTGCATCCGGGGATAAATCCCACTTGCTCATGGTGAATAATCTTCTTAAAGTATTGTTGGATCCTATTGGCTAGTATCTTGTTGAGAATTTTTCCATCTGTGTTCATCAGGGATATTGGTCTATAATTCTCCTTTTTGGTGGGGTCTTTGTCTGGTTTTGGAATTAAGGTGATGCTAGCCTCATAGAACGAGTTTGGAAGTATTCCATCCCTTTCTTTCGGAACAGCTTTAGTAGAATAGGTATTGTTTCTTCTTTAAACGTTTGATAGAATTCCCCTGGGAAGCCCTCTGGCCCTGGGCTTTTATGTTTGGGGAGGTTTTTGATGGCTGCTTCAATTTCCTCCCTGGTTATTGGCCTGTTCAGGTTTTCTGTTTCTTCCTGTTCCAGTTTTGGTAGTTTGTGGTTTTCCAGAAATGCGTCCATTTCTTCTAGATTGCCTAATTTATTGGCATATAGCCTCTCATAATATGTTTTTTTTTTAATTTTTTTTTATTTATTTATGATAGTCACACAGGGAGAGAGAGAGAGAGGCAGAGACATAGGCATAGGCAGAGGGAGAAGCAGGCTCCACGCACTGGGAGCTTGACGTGGGATTCGACCCCGGGTCTCCAGGATCGCGCCCTGGGCCAAAGGCAGGCGCCAAACCGCTGCGCCACCCAGGGATCCCTCTCATAATATGTTTTTAAAATCGTTTGTATGTCCTTGGTATTGGTTGTGATCTCTCCTTTTTCATTCGTGATTTTATTAGAGTC